TGCTTTCTGACTGGACTGTATCGTTAGGCATATCTGTTTGCATGGCGATTGATAGATTTGTACCGGTAATATTCAATGTCGAAGACTCGATTATCGGGTCAGATCGCCCGGTTATTTGAAGAGGCTGATTTTGTGCTTTATATTCCGCATGTACCTTATAATGATCTGAATGGAAGAATTATAGAATTATAAAAATCGCAAAATATACGTTGCGATATATTCTTATTGATTTATTTACATAATGCACGAGTGCAAATAAACGTGACTTGTACACATTACCTAACATAATAATATTTTTGGTGCGTTTGAAGCTTTGATAATCATTAGCTACATCGATGTTAGAAATAAAAACGTGATTTCCTGGCAATGGTACTTCACTGTCATCTGCATCAAGATGCGAAGTTAGTAATGGACCTTCCAGAAGCAAATGTTCAATATTGCTTGATATCGTTGTCGTGTCCGTGTCAACGAGCGATGGTAAAGCATAGAAACCATATCGATGTTGGCCAACGTATAAAGTTTTACTAGAACAAAATCACTTGAGAATTAACACGTTTACTACTATAGTTTATTCGGGGAATTCTTTTCACAGATCATATCGCATTTGTTTTCATGTAATTACATAAAACAGACTTGTTTTATTTTTATACAGATATACAAAAAAAAAATATTGTTGTCGTATATAAATATATAACGTTAGTAGCGAACATGTTAAGTAAAATTGAAAATTTTGAATAAAGATGAACTTGAAGTGAGATCTGTGCATCACACATATGTGATACTGGTAGCGAACGTTAACTTGCTAAATGTTAACTTAAATATAATTAAGTTTATTATGATTAATTTATGTGAAATAATGTTAAGTTTCTTAAGATTCTTGGATATTCGCATTGTCCATCTCTTTTTAATGATGTTAAAAACGAGGAAATGCATGCTAAAAATTCTTGAAAAATACATCGAAATAAAAAGATATGTCCACAAAATGACAATCAATTAAGCACATCTCTAAAATACTTTGAACACTTTCCTTTTGCTCTAACAATTAATGAATAATCATAAAATTAACGTAATATGCAACTTTATTCTTTCTCATCTAATTTTCTCATTATTTTGTCATATTAATTTTACGAATTATTATTATAAGGGGCTTTAAAGAGACGCGATTTTTTCTCCGTTTAATATTTACGAAATGTAGAATTTTTTCCAATCTTGAGCAATTTTAACTTACAACAGCTGAATATCAGTTGATTTTGTCGCGAGTCTTTCCAATAATGAATCCAATGTTCCTTCAGCAATACTTGTAAAAGGAACTGTCAGCAATCCGTCTTCAGTTAGGGTGTACATCGCTATTATCGGACTTTTGAGATCCAATTCCCAAAGAACTATGCCTAATCTCTTATCCAGTGTCACAACGCGACCTGTTGAGCTTGTGGTAAAATGTAACAAATCTAAAATTAAATAAAGTTGTTACATAAAATATATATTCTATGTTTGATATTATGCAATATCTCTCAAAAGATCTCTTTCAGAAACAGTCAAATATCTTGAAAAATATATGTTTTAAGAAAGAAATGTTTTAAACAAATATTTTAAGGTTCAAAAAATATATTATATTTAAATAGCTGCTGAAAAGTATTTGATGTTAGAAAGATTTTAGAATATCCTGTCGAGACTAATTTCAATATTTTTTAAATTATTCGGTTTTCTTAATATAAATTAATTCCTTAGATTATTCTGCGTATAAAAATGTTAACTTGAGACTTTTTATATCTCGTCGCAGTCATGTTGAATTTATAACGTTAGAAGCGAGGAACAACGTACTGATGAAAGTTGCGTGCTATTTCTAAATTAAGATAAATATGGACGAAAGAGCATTTGAGATTGTTTGAGCATACTTGTAAAATTGTCCGAAAGATATTCCTTTCCCCTGACGATTAATAAATAGTCGTATAATAAATGATGAAATTAAGACATGCAGATAAAACATTCATTTCACATGCCTCATTTCGAAATTTATTATACGATTATTTATTGATCAAGAGAAAGGGATACCTTTCAGACAATTTTACGAATGTACTTAAGCAACCTAAAATGCTTTTTTATTCATGATTATCTTTATTCAGAAATGACACGCAACTTTCATCAGCATATCATTCCTCGCTTCTGATGTCATCACGAATTTGATATAACGAGAAGTCAAGGCGAGAAGTCAAGAAGTCATAAGATCATTAAAAAGTGTATACTCTTTGAAATATTTTACAATTTTCTCTGATACTTTTTTCGATATAAGATATGAAATAAAATATTCATTTTTTTATAACTTGTTTTTGTATAAAAAATAATAAATGGAATTCATTATTAAAGAAATATCGAAAACATAAAAACAACATAATTGCATTTTGTAAATGCATTGATGCATCAGTGTGCAAAGATTAGAATCATTAATGGATTCCTCTTGTTATTATGTACAAAAATATTAAGATTTCTGAGTACTTGTGTCGTCTATCTGCATTTAATGATGTCAGAGTAAACGCATGCTAAAAATTCTTGCGAAATAAATATTTAAATAAAAAGATATATCTATAAAACGACACTTGCAACTGATCGAGCAAATCTGTAAAATAATCTGAACAAATACTTCCCTTTTGCTGTAATAATCAATAATTTACTAATTATGACATACATCTTTTTAACCTATCTTTTCGCATGATTTCACGTTTATTTACGGTAAACTGTTGATTGTTAGAACAAAAGGGAAGTGTTTGAACTATTGTACAAATTAATTGCAACTCCATTAATTGCAAGTGTCGCTTTACAGATATATTTTTTTATTGTAAATGTATTTCGCAAGAATGCTAAGCACGCTTTCTTCGCTTCTGACGTCATTAAAAAGAAACATAATAGGATAGACCGAGGTGAATCGAATCATAAGGTGAATTAGATCAATATAAGCTCTAAGACAATTATTGTTAATATTTTGTTTTAAATGAATTGTTTTGTTATGCCAATTACTAACAGTTAGACTAATCGGGTTCACTTTGTGATCCAATTCGCCTCGGTCTATCCTACGAGTATCCAAGAGCTTTAAGGTCATCGAGAAATTTATATTTTATATCTTAGGACCGGTTTCACCAACTCCGGTTACAGTCAAAATTTGACCGACGATATCAGAGTTTCAACTGATGGGCATGAGTACTTGTCATTCTTATCCATTAGAATTTTCAGTTGGAACTAATACCGTCAGTCAGATTTGATCGTAACCAGAGTTGGTAAAACCAGCCCTTATACTGAAATATCTTAAGATAAAATTTAAAACATTTCGAAAAATATTCACTTTTAGACGATCTGACACCAGTATTTTTATATATAGAATTAATGGAAGGGTTGATTTATATTAAAAAAAAACATGATTTTACTAATAAAATGAAAATTTACTCTCTTTGACAAAACCTTTTAAAATCATTTCAAAGTAAAATAACCTTTGGCAACTAATATATTTAAGCTCTAAAGCATTTGTTTTAAACATTTTTTTTCTAAAATGTGCATTTTTAGATAAAATGTATATTTTTAGAAAGATATTCAACGATTTATAGCACTTTGGAAAACTCTGTATATATACAGGGTGTTTCAGACTTTCCTCCACAAATTTTGTGGAAACACAAAACGGTAAAAGACGTTTTTGTTCAGTTTGATCTAATGTATAAGTATACAATGGCAGACAGCGCCACTACAGCTCACATGCTATATCGCGTGTAATTCACTAATCTTTTTTTGAATATCTTGAGATTTATTGCAAATAATGCAAAACGGTATAGGACTTTTATATTTACCTCAATCCATTCTACGTTCCCACAAAAATTATGGAAAAGAGTCTGACAACCTGTATACATAATAAATAATATACCTAACAAAAATTTTAATATCATTGTTTTATAACAGGAAAATTACCGTAATTGTCGGCAACATCAGGTTCCATTTTTTCAGCAGAATAATCATAGAATGTCACATTCCATTTTCTATCTTTATGCTTACTATCAACCATAATAATATTATATTCTGTACGACCGACAAAAATAGCATTCTGTATTTTTAAAGGACAAGTATTTTTGACGTCATTAAAGCTCAAAAGTTGCTCCCTTTCACCAGTTGTTGGATCAATGCTAAACCAAGTATCAATTTTTCTACCAGTGTACAACATGCCATCACTACTTTTGCAAGGGCTATTAGCCACCAGCTGGGGAATGGTTAATGGCAGTTTTTTTAATGCTTCTGAATCTCTACCAAATAAATAAAGTGTACCATCTCTGGGGTCTGGTAGAAACATTCGCCTAAAAGCAGAAGTTAACAAAGGCTCATGTTACCTTATTTAATATATGATATTATTTATAGTTTATCATGAAAAATAGCTCCATAAAATAATTAAATATATAAAGAACATACATTTTATTCTCTGATATATCCCCAATAGGCACTTTAACTACTGGCTCTGAAACATGAATAAGTATATATAGATATTTGTGTATGTACATATGTATACACATATATTAAAAAATAATATATTTATATACAATTAAATAAAATTAATTACTACCATTGTCCTGTTGCCATCGTATTTCTCCTGATCGTTGACTAACTCCTACAAGAGATCCTCTGAGTGTAGAAAACAAAACAAGAGTATCATCTTGTTCCACTACTAGTTCAGTATTAGAATTCTAACAACAAATATTAATGTGTTCAAATTACAAATTCAAATAGGTCTTTTTTTTATATTTTCTATATATATATATATATATATATATATGTATATATACATATATATATATATGTATATATAAGTTTTTAAATATATAAAATAAAAACTTGAAGGAAAATTTGTTTTTAATATTTAATTTCTTAATTAATAATGTACAAATATATTTTCAATTATTTATGCACATAAGATACATTAAAAGTTTAAGAAAGTCTCTATAATGTATCCCTAATAAAAGAAATTATATTACATACATCTGTTACCTGCTGTCCTACACAGAGTCGCAGTATCAGCAGGATAACAAATATTTTTGGCTCAATTATTCTTCTCATTTTTATTACAATGTAATGAGTCACTGTGATGCAATCTGTATTGTTGCCATGAATGCTGTATTATTGACTAATGCTGTATAAATTGTATTTTCTGTAGATATATAATTACATAGTCATCACATAATTTTTTTTTAAGTACAATTAAAATAAAATATGAAAGGTATCCTTTCAGTGTAAGTTTAATAATAACATTTCGTTATCTTGTAACTCGGTTGGTGAGCGAAATACAGTACATCGAGAAATCTCTTAAAACAGTAAAGATTACGTCAAAAAACAAGTTTGATTTATCTCCTGTGTTGCTGCGTTATTACACCAATTACGTATATTCAAAGTCAAAATGGTCATCATAACAATCCATCTATTCTTATTATCGTGAATTTTTCAGTCTCTGTAAATTCTAATTACTGGAAATACAACCGGAAACCTAAAAGATGACACGCACATTTTGGCAAATATTTTATATGGACACGTGTCTCAAGTACAATCACAGATGTCCATATTAAACAGTCTGTTCTTTTCAGCTGCACTGCTGCAATAACTAAACTGGTGCAATAAGTAAGAGTGAGAAAATATATACTTGTCTCACATTAACTTATTGTACCAGTGCAGCTGAAAAGAACAGACCATGGCTGCGTTCCGTTTCACGCATATGCGCGCATTTATCTATAGTTCATGTTACATATATTGTAGGCAATGCGCGCATATGCGTGAAACGGAACGCAACCATATATTGCAGGATTCACACTGCGTTCCATGTCCGATGTCCTACGTACGATATCCAATAAAGAGAACAGCTTTCTAATAGAGAACTCAATTCTCGATTGGAAAGCTGTTCTACTATTGGATATCGGACGTCGTACGTCGAATATCGGACGCGGTGTGAATCTTCCATAACAGGCTATCTAATGGCTCCTGCACACAGGACGCGGTAATGCTTGCCGCGCGGCGGAAGTCCGCGTGACAGCCAATCAATATGTTGTTTTTCCGTAAGAGCTAGAAGATTATTACGGAAAGCAGCATATTGATTGGCTGTCGCGCGGACTTTCGCTGCGCGGCGGAAATCCGCTCAACAGCCAATGAATATATTGTTTTTCCGTAAAAGTTATGTCTTCTGCACACAGGACGCGGTAATGCTTGCCGCGCGGCGAAAGTTCGCGCAACAGCCAATCAATATGCTGCTTTTCGTAATAATCTTCTAGATCTTACGGAAAAACAACATATTGATTGGCTGTCGCTCGGACTTCCGCCGCGCGGCAAGCATTACCGCGTCCTGTGTGCAGGAGCCATTAGA